TGTGTCCAAGAGTTACAGATTTTATTTCGAAGCCAGCAGGCAAGAAAAAAACTCAAGTAGAATAAAGACTGGCAAACAACCCAAGAAGACCAATTCCACCAATGAGGAGATGACAATCTGGATATAACAAACTCCATACATCCCTAGTTGGTATTTTTTAAAAGCAGCGTGGTATGGTATACAGCTGGATATAAAACCTGCATCTGTCTCACCCTTTCCAATCCCATAAAAATCCCTGAATGAGAGAGGAAATTGAACAAGTGGGGAGCCTGCATAGGCCTTGGCAAGCCACACTGCGGGAAGGAGAAAACAGAGGGAGGGATGAATCAAGCTTACATGGCATCCAAGAAGAGGAACCAAGATATGGTGCAACCACCCAGCTAGGGGAAAAGATGTAATTCAGAGGAAGTAGCATTCATTGCATGAATGCTCACATTGCAGTTTCTCTCCCCGTTCTCATGCTGACATAGATTAGGACAGGACAGAGAATTTGCAAAGCAGTTTCAGAACCTGCTCGGTACATGTGAACCATCAAAGTGGAAGAAAACCCCACCGTGGCCTCATATGCCCCAAATCACAGCCCAGACAAACCATCCCCCTCAATGTTCCTAAAGGCTTGCTTGATATAATTAGTGGACACGTTCAAAGAGAGCCCTGCGTTCCAGAAATGTCCCTCAAAACCCTATTCTTACCATTTCCAGAGAGTCACATCCATTTGCAAGGGTGTCCTTGCCCACTCTTTGGCTGGAGTAACCTGACAACTCCCATGTAAAGATGGATAAATTTAGCTTCCTTGTAAACAGATAGGCCAGCAGTTGACTCCCGAAGTGACAGCACTCAGCGCTGTCCTAAACGTGCTCGAGCAGGGACACAGAACGCTTGCTCTGGAGTCTCAGAAACCCCACAACACTGAATCTCACGCGTACAGGACACACACAGATCCACATGCTACCCAAGATTAAAATACCACCAGGTTGGGGCAGGTCCTCCACAGTATAGTTTCTTCCACAGGACAGGTTTATACTGCTGACAGGATACCGAAAGAACTCTCCCCACCCGTCTCATTCAATTTCACTCTAGACTGAGGACAGGCAACTTGGTGCCCACCGGATGTTTAGGACTACAAATCCCCAGCCAGCATAGCCAATAACCGGGGATTGTATGGGAGCTGCAGTCCAAAACATCTGGAGGGTGCCAGATTGCCAACCCCTGCCCTGGTGGAAAACGGCCATTACTAAGCCTTCCTAAGCCGAGACTGAGGTTAAGCAGCAGGAGGGTTTTGTACTGTAATAACATGCGTCCTTCCCACCCCTCACAATCCTTTTGCATTCTGGGATTGTCTTATAGGAATCCCAGTAGAACTATCCTGGAGTAGACCACAATCACAGTCATGAAGGACACCTGAAAGGCAAGGCAAGATTTTTTTTCTTAAATGACATTTTCAAAATGATGCATGAATGAGAATTATGCCCCAGACCTTGTCAATATTATGAAGAAAAACCCACCATCACATGTTGTTCTACAACAAATAGGAGAACCAGAGAAAATAATCATCTTGCAGCCATTATTAGCAACCAAACTGAATGCATTGTTACCAAGACACAACTCAGTTTCAGTGTTTTCATCAAATAGCAACCCTCACAGTGTATTTATTTTAATTAATAACTTTTTGTAGCTGAAGCTTCCAGAGTGGTGTACAACAGTTGAATAAGATACAACATAAAAGCATAACAAAGGTCACTATGATGTAAAATCAGATTTGAACTTCAGCAGCTAAGTCCATGGTGCTGTGCCTGCTAAAAACAACTTACAATGCTCCCCCCCCGCACATGTGTTGGACTGCAACTCCCATCATTCCCAGGCAGCATGGTCATTGATGGTCCAACACATCTGCAGGGCACCCCACTGGGGAAGGCTGCCCTACAGCCAAGAGGATTAAGGGAGGAAGGAGAGCAGAGAGTCTCTGCCCCTGGAGTCGCTGTTGTCCCCAAGTTGCCTCCAGGGAGGAAAATGCAGGTCCCTTCCCCTCCCCGTGACTAGGCAGTGCTGCTCAGGCTCAGAGCACAGAGGCTGAGGAGCATGATGAGCAAAACTGGGCAGCCTGCCACTCGCCTGAAAGGGAGATTATCACCGCACATCTAATCCAGCCCTCCGAGTCCACTCTCACTGAGAAAGCAGCTTCATGCATCATTTTAGCATCATTCCCCGTTCACCAGACATAGTCCCTGGTATCCTCACAGGAAACAAGCAACACAGCTGGAGCACTCGTGTCCCGGACACACTGCGAACAAGCATGCATGTATGCATGTGGCAGGGAGAGAAACTGTTTACCTCTCCCGAGCATTTCTGGCTGCCTCGGCAGCTCTCATCTTCAGCCTGGGTCCCTGCAACTGGACAAAGATGCGTCCAAGCTGCCCTGCTCCAAAGCCACCCAACACATCAAAGGGCATTTGGCCCTAGAGGCCACAAGACAAAAGCTTTGAGTCAAGTAAGCCCAAGGCAATGCTTGCACGATGGAATATGCTCCACAAGAGGAATAAACTGAACAGGTCTCTGCCATCCCAGTATACAACACATATCACACAGATCTGCGCTCCCACTCCACTGGGGAAGCCTCCAACTCAGCCACTTGCCCATAACTGGGTCATATATACGAGTTTATTCTCTTGGTGCAGCGACACTGCAGAGATACTTCTAACAGAAAAGAATTCAAATAGATTCAGAGGAGACATGAATGAAATTAATTCAAAAGCAGTACTAGGAGATTCTATCCAGTGCAGTGTCATGCACACACAAAGATGAGTAAGCAAAGGATTGCTGGCTCAGGGGTGGGTGGGTGGGTGGGTGGGGGGGGGGCCTCTACAACCAAGCCTCACATCTATCCTGTGAGCCACTGACCAACAAAAAAGTAGTTTCAGCATAAAGTAGGACTTCCATACTTCACCTCATTTACGTTCATGCTTCAGATTGGCTTCCTCAACCTGGCACCCTCTAGGGATTGCAACAGACTTCAACTCCTTCCATGCCAACTTGGTGGGGGGGGGGGCGCGTGTAATGTGAAGTGAGGTCTAACAAATATGCAGGCTGCCAGGCTGGGGAAGGCTCAGGACATCAGTTGAAATCATTCGAACATGAGTGATTTGTCGAGGCACGTCCTGGATCAACACGTGGACTGTGCATCTCTTCCCTTTCCAGAAGGGCCCGCACGGGCACTTTCTTCCATTATGAGAAAGACTCCAAGCTCACCACCTGGACACCAGACGAGGGCTGCACGGTGACAACGAAAGATTTAGACCACACACACAGTACAACTTCCTTGTTTCTTTTGAGAACAGCTCAGAAGACACATCCCTTGAAGTTTTAGCAGTGTTCACAAACGCTTATCCTAGCCTTTCTGAATTTATTCCAGTTCTGCATATATGTGGGTTTTATCAGGAAGTCGGTCCACCCTGCTTATCGGGCAAGTTGTGCAAAATGCCTGCCTGGGTGAGAGCCCCAGGCCTGGGTCTTCTGCTGCCTGGTCCGAGTAAATCCATCTGTTTCCCTGGGGTTAAGAAGCGCACCATTGCACACCCTCCGGACAGGGCCACCTCGGGAGCACACTGTGCTCACTCTCTCGAGTGCTGTGGAAAACACCCACCCAGAACTGTAATTCGGGCTTGGGCAAGAACATGGCCAGGAGCCTGTGAGAAATTACGTGAGGCATGTGACAGGCTGACCCATTTGGGACTCACCCAGCTGCGGGGCTCCCTGCCACCGTGTCGCTTGTACTGTGTCCTGGAAAGGATGACCCATACAGGTAGGAAGCAAACATTGCTGCCAGGCAAAGAGCTGGAGACACGCACGCTCCCCAGAAGCACAAACGTGGCAAGTGAAGCAGAGCTGGGACCTAGGAAGTGTCACGGCCCCCCATACCCCCCCCCCCCCCCAGCCACCCCGCAACCAGACCCAGGGCTGCGTGAGGAAAGCGGGGGACGCAGGCAGAAAAGGGAAGCATCTGCCGCCCCTGCAGCTGTTGCTACCCTGTAACCATTCCGCCGCCGCCGCCGCCGCCGAGAGGGGGTTTACGCTTCCCTGCTCAGCTCCTGCCACAGCACAGAGCCCAGCGGACAAACGCCTCTTGCATGAAGAGGCTCCGGCCGAGGCACGCACGGAGACCAGCTGTCTCTCATTAGCCCTCTCCTCAGAGCTCCGCGCAGGGCCTCCTGCCCCGGCCCCCCCACCCCCGTCAAGGCTTTGAAGGGAGCCCGTTCCCCCTCCGCCGCCAACATACGGCTCTCCTTGAGCACACGGCAATCCACGCGAGGCTTAACTCGCCGGCCCGGGGAGGAACAGCTGTCCTTGCCCTGTGCCCACAGAGCACAACAGCTGCCTCGGAGCCTCGCCACGGGGCAGCTGCGCTCGTCCTCACTCTCCCGGCAGCACGGAGGGAGAGAGGGAAGGGGGGCGTCCTCGCCCTGCCTTGCCCCCTCCCCACCAGCAGTCCCGGCTCAATTGCTCAGAGAGCGCCCCCCGCTCCGACCCCACTCTTAACCAAGAGCGCCTCGCCCAGGGTCACTCATTGCCTTACAACCCGCGCCGGCTGATCTTTCCCCAGGAGCCCACGTTGGGTTTGGATCCGCCCGAGGAGGCGCCCTCTTACAGCCAACTCCCTTGTCTCTTGCATGGGGCAATTAGCCATATGGCTTGCCAGGCTTCTGTTTGCGGTAGCCTCCCCACCACGCCTTCGAAAAGTAAGAGCGCAATCCCCGAGACGACTCATTCCCCAAACCCCGCTGAAGCAGGTGTGCGTTTGGAAGGACGGGTCCCCCGCAATTCCACCCAAGGGCAGCTCGCTGTTGAGGCAACTAGAGCCACTCCCCCTTACTGCCACCCAGGATCGAGGCAAGATTACTTCTCCACTCCTCCCTTCCCACAGGGAAGCTTCCTGACCCCCCTTCAGAACTGCCTCCTTCACAAACCCTCTGCAAGCATGTCAATTCATTCGCTTGCTCGCTCACCGTATCCACTCTCCTCCTCCTCCTCCTCCATGTTTCCACCCAGGGCTCAGCTCGACTGCCGCTAGAGCGATGCAACACTGCTGCCGCGGCTCGGCAAGTTCCTTCCCATCGCTGCCGCGCGCACGTGACAGCAAGGAGGCGGAGCCCCGGGCCGAAACAGAACAGGAAAGAGGCGGGCCTTTGGCGTCACGTGATTTGGTCCGAGGGAGAGGGCGTGCTTAAGCGAGACTAGCGAATTTCGGTCTCTTCCGCAGCGTGGACTTAGTGTGGTGCAGTGGTTAGAGTTCCGGTCCAGACCTCAGAAGGTTCCTCGGGTTCTGGCCCCCACTCCATTTTGAGGCTCATTCGGTGACTTTGGCCGGTCACTGGCTCAGCCTAACCTCACTTACAGGGGAGTTGTGCGGATCCAGTGCAAGACGAGTGCACCACAAGAAGCCAAGATACAACTGTATTAACTATCTTAACAATTCCAAGTAGTTTTCATTGTCGCCAGTTAGGAAGCGTAATTGCCGCTCAATTTAAAAGAGCAACTTGCACTTGTAGGGCAGAAGAGGGACCGTCGGGTCAACCACTTAAGCCACGCGTTAATTTGGTTGCATGCAGATAGGGTGGAGAACACGATGGTATATTAAATCGCCATGAAATGGCTTGTACCGGAGAAAATAGGTGCCTGGATACCTGAGACGGAAGGCCTCTTGCACGATTTTCCGTCTGAAGTTGGCTGGAACCCGGGGGCGGATGGGGCCCGACGCGGCACGTGTTCAGCTTATAAAAAATGAGGCTCGCAACAGGTGTTGGGCTACGTCGTTGCAGCTCAACCAATGATGAGAGGTGGATGAAGGCGCGGTCGCATCTCCCGTTACTAGAAGTTATGAAGTTCACCGAGCGTGGTGGTGGTGTGGTTTAATGCAAGCGCGGATCTCTGAGAAGGAACTGGAAGGGCTTGTTTTCGTTAGCCAAAATATTCCCGCCCTCTCCCCCTGGAAGGGCTGCAACTCTGACCAAACAGGCGGGATTGACCCCCCGTTTTTCTGCCCTTATATTTCAGCTCTGTGCCTCTTCCATAGAGAGGCGGTTAGGAGCTTGTAGCAGGCAGGATCGGTCAGTCCATTCATGATCTTTAAAAAGGGTGAGACTGATTTGTAGCAGGAGGTTAGAAATTCGGGAGCTTGTTTTTGGAACTGGGATGTTTGGGGACATTGCGATCTTTTTCTGAATTTTTTTCAGCATAGCTCCTCCCAGACTAGTGTGGCAATAATGAATGCTGTACTAGAGGCAGAGACACGAGCCACAAGGGTGAGCAGCGACAGAGCGCTTGCCCAAGCGGGCTGGGTGAACTTGCTACACTTTGCACTGAAAAGCGCAGCATGTGGATGTTAATCACTCTGCTACCGATGTGTGAGAACCTTAAACCTTAGAAACACAAGCACTAGCTAATTAAAGGGGAAAATAAAGGATTATGGCTTAAGTTGAGCTATTAGGTTTGACTTTTGTATGGCTGCAGTAAAATAAAACTAAATTAAGCTCTTTATCTTTCCTTTGGAACAAGCAGCTTCAAGAAAGTAAAATACGCCCATTTCCTCATGGGTGTATTATCACAACTTCTCAAAAGTGTGAGGAAGCTTCCGTTGTCATACTCTGTGGCAACAACGTAAGTCAAAAGCTTTCCCAATCCCTTCCGTCTGTCCCAAACAGATCAAAATGCCAACTTTCCATTCAGTGTAACAGAGGAAGCTGTAACACCCTTCATATAATGGAGATAGTGAAAGCAAACCTCCACTGCAATGTAGGCTTTTAGCCTTCCTAATAGCATGGCTTACTCTGATTCTGCATTTGCTTTGTCAAGAGCTTAGCCCTCAGCAACAGTATTTTAAATTTTGGCACATGCTATATCCGCACTACTAGTTTATTAGAGGAATGTCCAGGGAGAGTGCGCTTATTACTGAAGTAGGTATTGGCTCTTTTGAAACAGTAATTCAACATTAAATTGTGTTTCGACAACTTTGGCAGGTGCATGAATAGCACAAAGCATTTCAGAATACATAGCTCTGCTCTCCTGAAGACTATTAATGCATCAAGAATCACAGGATTATTAATAAACAATAAGCAGGAAGTTCTGCTTAGACCTCTCAAATATTATTGCCCCCTTCAAGAAGCACCTACCTTCTCAGTTTGGTTACATTTTTTTCTTTTAAAAGGAAGAGGTTGCTAATTAACATGTTAACTCTAATCCATACTCCCTCACTGCAGGGAAGCATGGCATTGCGGTGTTTAAGCATGGAGTGTATTCTTAAGGGCCAATGGGTGGGGTGGGGAATCCCATTTGATGTATAGACTTCTACAAGCAGTAAAAGCTCTTAGGATGGAGCAGCAGTCTCTCAGTGTGGTAGAACACCTGCTCTACATCCAGAAGGCAACAGGTGTAATCTCTGGCATTTTCAGGTAGGGCTGGATAAACTCCTGCCTTACTCCAGGAAAACTGCTGTTAGTCAAGGTTGCGATTATTACTTATTTCAATTTCTATGCCACTCCATAACCCAAATACTGGGCTGAATGGATCGATGGGTCTAGCACAGTATAAGGAAACCTCCTCTGATTGGGGTGGTGGGAAAAGTAAAATCCCTAATTTCTGGACTCTGAACTCTTGCAGTGACCCTCCCCAAGAACGTCTGCTGCACTGTATCTGGGATCTCAGTCACTGCCCCATGCCACAATGTAGAGGCAGTAAAAACTGATCCTACCAATATGAATGTAGATGCAAGCTGGGATTTTAGTACTTAATTCTGCTGATTGTCACATGGTGCTCTATTTTAGAAATCTGATGCCTCTCATTTTCCTAGCTTTCAACTTTAATTATAATACTTTAAAGCTTCAACTATGCAATCCTATGTATGAGAATGTTCCCAGCACAACAGAGGCCATTATTACAGCTGCACTGTTATGCAAGTCATATTGGTGTCACCTGATCATGAGATTTTATGAGCCCACACAGCAGAATAAAAAAGGAGCAAGGCACTAGGCAAGGTGGATAGGCAGCTGAGAGAAGGAAGCAGCTTTCACCTAGTGTTCCAAATTAGGGACTAGCCCAGTGAGTGGGCAGCGGTTGTATAAAAGGATTCTTGCAGAAAGTGCCTGAGGGGTTGTCCTGATTTCAGCTAGAAAGAACAGGCAGGTGGTAGGATGTGACAGGAAAAGCCATCACAGCCAAATAACGAGGTACCAACAGGTAACCTGCAAGTAGAATATGAATGCATGAGCACCCAGCAACTGCTATACATAATACTGCCTCTGATAGTGGAGGTAACATTCAGCCACAGGACTGACAGCCTTCTCTTCTATCAATGCTGCACTGTCCAGTGCTAAGCACAGGCTACAAAAGGGTCTTTTCTGTATTTTCCTCAATAAAGCAAGGTTTGCAATGGAGCACTGACCCCTTTGCCTGCTATCAGTGATGTGCGAGCTGCCATGGAAAACCAGGTGCCCACATTCCTCTCCAAAGCCAATGGAAAGGTACTGCCCCCTCACCCACAACACCACTGTAATCGATCACAACAGAGACTGAGGAACGGACTGACTAAGCAAGACACATACACAAAACATTCCTTTATTGCACCACGGACCATCGCTACAACTAGGGCTACTGCAATAAGCCCCAGCATGAGGTGCAAAGTATTTCCCTGTTCTGGGTATCTACATGTGGGCAGGAGATTGTGAAATGGGCACTGCCAGAGTGAGTCTCTGCTCTCCACTGAGAGAGTGAGTGGTCTTAGTGCCCCACTCCCCCAGGAAAAAGGGACAAAACACTGTTAGCTCAAAACAAATGCAAGGGCCAAAATGGTAACTGTTTGATATGTTACACAGTGGAAAGAACTGGGCTTGTTTTCAACCTTCACCCCTCATCTGTGAATGGAGAAAATGGGTGCCAAGGCTGAATGGGAAACAAGATTAATTAGATGCAGTGGATGCAAGAATGGGAGGGATGTGCATGGACTGCCCCTCAGACTGATCGTGCATGTCTGGAAAGGTGTAAGAAAAAGCCACCGTGGAAAGAGTCACCACCCAGCAGCAGATGCAAGGAAATAAATAAAAACCCAGGCCAGCCCTGCAGGAACATTTGCCCATGGTCCCACTGGGCTTGACAACTACCCAGCAGAAAGCTTGGCACAAACGACTCGGTTCTCTTTCATTTCAGCAGCAATCAGCCCATTCTGCCTTGGCACATCAACAGCAGGGCTTTAAAGCATCCTCTGCCTAATGTGAACCAAGGCAGAAAACTGCAGGAGTCACATCTTCTTTAGGAATCCATCACTTTTGCCAATCAAGCTGTGCAAAGATGTCCACTGGAAGTTAATTAGTACATGAACTGATGAAGGATGGGAGAAGACCCAAGGAAGGAAGCTTCCAATTACAGGTGTAGCATTGAGAATTATTATTATTATTCCTTTGTATAGGATTCCTGGCTCAATTATCTGCAGAATCTCCCGTCCCCCACCATCCCTGGAACAACCTCCCTGTTGTGGCCCACCGGGCACCAAATTTGCCAGGTCAAGGCAGCCACCTCTGAGAAGGCCTTTAAAGACCTCCCTGGTCATTCAGGGGCCTGCAACGATTAGCCAGGTGCCTTTCTTTTATTCTTGGCTGGAGCCTTTTAACTGTCTTTTTATTGTTTAATGTTTTTATTCTATTTCATCTTGTTTTATTGTTTTTATAATTCGTTGTAAACAGCCCAGAGAGCTTCGGCTGTGGGTGGCATACAAGGGGGTGCTGAAAAGTTCTTGGCTGGACCAAGCAAACAAGAAAATGAACAAAACCAAAAAACACAAAGCAAAACCAAAATGAAAGCAAAACAAACAGAACAAATGAACAACACAAAAACAAACAGACCCAAAACAAAAGATATAACACAAAACAAAAGTGGGTCAGGCCAAAAACTTTTCAGTCCCTCATTGTAGATGTGAAATAAATAATAATTTCCACATGGAGGAGCAGTCAAGCATTCAAGTCCCCACTTACAGGGTTGATAGGATACTACCTGAATGTGCTGCTGCTTGGCTATGGCTAGAGGATGCTACTGAGAGGTTGTTGTGGTGAAGCAGCACCCTTTAAGGGCGCTCAGAGCGATTTCATCAGAAACAAGAGGCAACCACACAATGATACAGGGCAGGCCAACACCACCAGCAGCCTTCCTTGCTGTACAGAAGTCCATTTCAAGAGTGCTTGCACAGCAGGAGCAGGCTGCAGGGATGTGCTCCAAGATTTCCAGTGAGGAGCATTTTATATACCTCTCTGAAAAGGACAGGACACTGATGGGTGAAAAAAGCCGCAGAAGTTACCCTGTCATAACGATATAGCTGGAGAGTAGGGAAAAGCAACAAATGCCGCTTTGGGCAATAAAGTGTCCATCTCTCGGATTCCTTCCTCTTCCCCTGGCAGGAAAGGCAGGAGATAGCATTGCAGCTCACCCAGCCTAAACTTGTGGGGGTGGAGGTAGCAGAGGGGTTTGATTTCAGAAGGCTGGTCACCCCTGGCCCCACTATTCACCCATGCCCAATGCACACAGCTACCCTGGGAGAGCCCCTTGCACTCAGAAAGGCTTCTCAGAGCACTCCTGGAACTAGCTGGCAAGTGGTTCGTAAGCCCAGGCAATGTGCAGAAGATCCATCAGAGCCCTCTGAAACGGCAGCATTCGCTCAGAGCAAGAGGAAGACCTTCCCTGTGGATTCCATACAGCTGGCAGCCTGCAACTGTTGACAACTTAATTTTGGTCACTAGCAGCTCCAAGGTAGAAGAGTCCGCCATTGTGCCGCTGCAGCCAAGGACTCATCTATCTGTGGGGTTGAGATGGAGAACAAGTTAGTATCAAACTTCTATATGACTGCACGATCTTGACCAAGGGGGCAGGGAAGAGGACTGCAAGAAAAACAACGGCAACCTGTGAATGGCCAGGACCCCATGCATTTTGCAGTCACAGGATTACATGGAAAGGGGTGGGATGGAAAAGAACTGCAACCTTTGTCTGCAGTAGAATCTCAGTGTATTTTGCTTGTGAAAATTCATTCCTAACAGTTTCACAAGGCCAGAATTCAGTTTCTGGTCAGAGCAAACAAAGAACGTATTTGACTACTCAAGTCTAACAATTGCTACAACTATTCAAAATCCAAATTTTAAAGCCAACAAAACAAGAAACTACAGTTGATATAAGACCCTGTCTAAGGAATACTGTGTAACACAGAGATAAGGCTTTTTCTGCCTGCACAGTTTAGCCATTGCATACAGAATTAAGCACCTTCTCATCCCTCACATGCTGGTACCAAATCCCAATTATAAGCCACTTCTCCTTCCCCAATAATTGCCTGTTTGCCCACTGTGAGAAACCACATCCTTGCAATTCCATAAGACCCCCTTGATCAAATTACCCTCAAGTTCCTCACCATCTTATAGCCGATAGCTCAGGCTAGCTACTTTAGCCGGATGAGTCACAGCCCAGAAGTTACGTCGGCTTTGTAATTTTTGAAAAGCATTGAAGTTTCTCCTTCGCTCATGCTTGAGCTTCTTGCTTTTCTTCACCTGCATGTGCAATAAGAACCATGATTGTCCAGTTTCTAACATTCAAGCCTCCACCCCTGCCAAATACAGCATAGAAAGTACACCCTATATAAAAACAGAAAAATTGAGGATTTTAAAAAATTCTATAGATTTCTGTTCATTTCAATTATATTGCCTTTAAGAAAATAGCCTAGTTTAAAAGACAATCTGAGTAGTGAACCTGTTCTCTTAAAATCAACTCATGCCCACTGATGCTAAGTCAAATGTTCTTGTCTATGTTCAAGAACCACAGGGAAAATGCCAAATAAGATTAACTATAATAAGATTAAGCACAATAATTTATTATTGTAGGCTCAGACTAGCTAGTCACTGGGGCTATGACCCAGAAATTGCCAGTCTGACAATTACCAGGACCATGCACAGCACCCAAACAGTTAATCTTGTACTTCTGTCTCATGCCTGCCAACTATCTGAGCTTTACACTGTATTCATGAATGGATTATGAATAGATGCTTATTTTCTATCTCCCAGAGAAGCACTATTTGCAAGGAAAATATCATCCTCTGCTTATAGAAAGTTCTGGACACTTATAACCTGATCCCCTTATCCATACTGACTCAGACATAAGGACCACTTTGTTCAGTAGGTCTAAATTAGTGTCCACAGGACGGCAAAATCAGAAGTAACCTTGTGTTAGTCTGAATAGCCAAACACTGAGTTGTTGGCTGCACAACCAAAAGTTTTGGATTATGTTCCTAGGTCATAGAGAAGTTCTATTAAGAAACAACCCAGTATATTTTAATTATTAACACAACCAACTGGCATGCATGCTTGGTTTAGCAAATGTGTGAATTTCAAAAGGGGAGACCTGATATAAGGTCAGTTCCTACTGGCAGCCGGGCAATCAAGTAAATTGCAACCAATGGCTCCTTACCTTCCCACTGTCGAACTCTTCATCCCACTCATCAAGGACTGTCTGTTTCTGAAGCCACAGAGCCTCGTGCATGGCATCCTGGCTGACAGCTGACACCTCCCCTTCCCATGTCAACACTGTGGAGCAAACATAACAATGCAGGAGAGGTTGGAACTGCTGCATCTCTCTTACTCTCCTGTAACTTTTCCAATTTCTCCCATGAAGAACCTAGCCAGTAGTTGCCTTCAAAAGTACACCAGGGGAAACAGGAACATTATTTCGTTCTCAGGCTTTTCTACCATACAACTCAGAAAACTTTTTCAAAATGCCAGTGCGCTCAATTATTTCTTTTTCTGCTTTAGGATTCAAGGGTGCGGAGGGAATCTGGTTCTAAATGTATACAGGTGCAGTAATTGTTGAAGTCACAGAACCCAAATAAAGTATCTGCATGCACCTTCCTTTTCATTGCTCCTAAACCCTATTCCACTCTTCCTCATATACCTTCATTCGGCTCCCTAAGGTTAGGAAGGTGGTATCACTTATAGGTTAACTAAGAACATTTACAAATTTTATAGTTATTCTACCACAGCAGTTTGATTTTTTTGGTTGCACATCTTGGCATACAACTCAGAACCTTCAGTCTAAGCGTTTGCACAGCTAAACACAGTTTTATGCATATCCCATGGGATTGGAAGGCCTCCTCTGTTCACTGGAACTCTGACCCAAGCAGTACCTTGTTTTCCATAAGCTTTATCCAAAGAATCCTTCAGCAGTTCCTGAACAACATCAGACTGCACACACTTATGTCGTATCACTTCCTTCTTTGGACTTAAGATGTTCAACGGGCAGTTGTCCCCATGTGTAAGTTGGCTGCCCCAGGCCAGTGTTGCTGCAGAGAGAGACAGGTGGCATTAGTGCAAGTCTGGTGCTAAATATGCTAGACAGCTCAGCACACACAACTGAGGGAGCAAAAAACCCCTCTCCATCATTCCCCAGGGACAACTGCAGCCGAAAGGCTTACTTGCCCACTTGAAGGGGAACATAAGCAAGATGCTGACACACGGAAGCACCTCCCATCCCCAGGTTCTTCTCCATTACACCAGAAACCAATAATACAATTTAAGCATGTGCACCCAGAATTCATCCCAAAGACATATTTCAACTTCAGTGCTGCCACAGTTCTTGTTTTTCCATTTTTGTTCGCACCAAGCCAGATGAGAGAACTGGCACATTGCACACCCAGAAAGAGATGTCTGGTGAATCCAACCCAAACGGTTACAAAGTCTGGGGATAAAAAGCAGAAATCTTAGAGAACACCACAGCCCTCATTAGGTAGAAGACCCTGCTCAACAGCTATTTTTATTTGGATGGAAGCTACATGAGCTGTGAGAAAAGATGAGAAATATGGATCTCAGACAACTCAGGGTATTATTTATGACATTTCTCTCTTGCCTTCTTCCCTTTGGAAGAAGGGTCTTCTTCCAAAGTCTTCCTCCTCACCATTTTACCCTCACAATGCCCCTGTGAGGTAGGCGAAGCAGTGTCTGCCACAAAAATCACCCAGTGAGTATCACAACGGAGTGGGGACTAGACCCGCATGTCCTGCCTCCCAGGCCAATGTTCTCACCACATCTCCACGCAGGCTCTCCTCTGGGAGTAAGCCCTGTTGTTCCTCACGGAATACAGGCAGATGCAACAGGGTTTATTTGCAGCTCAGTGGAGCTGGGAGTTTCAGAAAGCAGCAGCTTGGCAATGCTGACTCCAAGGAAGCAGCAGCCGGACCCCTGACTGGAATGTGGGCTAAGTGAAGCAGCATAGCTACCACCGCAGACCCTCGGCTGCTCCCCACCCCCCAGCCAACCCTGATGTAGATGCGTCTTATACCTGGAGGGCTGACTCTGACCGAGGAAAGGCCGTTCTCACGCGGTCCCTCGTGGGCACTGCTGATCTCAGGCACAGAGCCGCTCCGTTTCTCCCTCCTCTTGTGCTTGCGGTGCTCACTCTCTCTGCCCGAGTCTGAATCTGGAGAAGGCAGCTGCTGCTGCTTCTGCTTCTTCTTCTTCTTCCTTTTCACATGGCAGGGTTCCTCCGCAGGCACATGTGGCAGGCAGACCTCTGCTTCAGACCGTGGAGGATAGCTGTGAGCAGAAAATTAGGGTTATTTTTAAACAGTATTCATTTAAAAGTTTGGGGGCAAGGATGGCTGATGCTGGCCCTGTGCAATAACCATTTTGTACAATATGTTAATAATATGTTGAAATATCTGCAACAAAACAAAAAGCAGATAATCTCCAAGGGTAATAAAGCAATATAATCTCTAAAAGTAATTCATAACACATATTTTTTTAAAGTAAATCACTGAAGATTTTAAAATAAGCTACAAAATAAAACTTAAATAGGCACAAATAATATTTACCTTAGAATAAATACTAAGATTTTGGCCTGATCTGCAAATGGGTTACAAATATTAATTACTGGAAATTCAAGATCTTATTTCTGCATTCACAAACACACATGCGCGCACCCAACAAATATACAAGTCGTAAAATATCTGAAGTAACCTAAGATATTCACAAAAAATACATTGTTGTGACCAAAAGCAATGAAAGATTCTTCAAAAAATTCTGCATAAAGCTTCATGACCTGATATACTCCAGTGAGCTGTAACACCACTTTGATTGGAAAAGCCATTAAATATAAGCTCACACTCCCAAAGCGCTATGCCTCTGGCAGCCCTGCCGTAAGTACCCATTTAAGCACGAATGGAAGCCAACACACCTCAGGCAGCCATTCTTCCCTCTTCCCCTCCCCATTTTAAAGTTTAACTCAGACTTTGGGATCTCAAAATTTTCTATGAATCATCCCTTACAAATAATCTAGAGTATTCTTTACACTCTCATTCTTAAAATTGACACATTCAGGAAGGACAAGCTTACTTTTTGTCGAAAAGAATCAAGAGCAGCTGGCTTGCTGAACTCAAACAAATATGATACATAGGTCTTATGTTCATATTTGTTATTGTCAAATTTCCAAATATTTATATCGTTACAGATACAAGGTGGGCCAAGTAAGACCTGCAATAAACTGTTGCAGCATGAAGTTTTCCTGCGTAGTGTTCCAGCCAGCTAGCCATGCCCCCTTCCAGGATATTCCATTCCCCCATCCCACTGGTTTTCAATTCCCCATCCTCCAAACAGGCAGCTAGTATTTGTGGTCATGGAGTAGGTTATCCTTATTAGCATCCCTCACCCTCTTAAGCATCTTGTGCTAGTTTTTTTCTTGTTTTTCTAAACCTTGGAGTTTCTCCAAACCTGCTGATTCATCCCTTTTGTGTATGGATGTGCCATATTTGCTACGTAAACATTTAGCACTCAGAATATTTTGACTCTTTATATGATTTACTTTCTATGCCATGGATCAACACTGCTCTGTCCAATAACTACTGTCCCACATTAATGGAAAGTTCCAGGCCTTCGAGCCTTCAGATGGAATGAACTTGTTATGGAGACCATATGCACAAAGACTGTCAATGAGAAACCCTCAATTTCACAAGTGCTCCTCTAAGTTAATCCAAACACCAGCATCTCCAGGAAGGGGTAGGCAAAGGTCCTGCCTGAAACCCTGGAGAGAAAGCTGGGATAAAAGGAACCAGGGTCCAAAGCAAGCTTCCAATGTTTCCTGTGTTATCCCAGCAGGAGAAAAAGACTGTGACCTATTGCTCAGGTCAGCACCTTTCTTGAAGATGAGGCAGTACACCAGGCAAAACTCCTGTCCAAGGACAAGCAGCCAAGCAAATGTTTACCTGTTCATAGGTGACAACAAAAGTGTGCAGTCTTCCCCCCTCTGCTGCAGCCTCTTCTTCTTCTTCTTCTTCTTCTGGATGGAACTGCCCAGACTAGGATCTGGCGCCCTGTAGTCTATAGCCATTCCCCTTTCTTCTCCCTTCCAGGCTGGCTCCAAGACAGGGATGGCTCCAAAGCTGCCATTTTCTTTCAGTTGCCTTTTCTTCTTGGGAGGGCTTGAGAGCCAGATTTCCTTGGAACTGACACCTGTCGTACCTGAGCTGCAATAGGTTTCTTGTTCTTCCTCTGTGGGACTATGCTTCCTTTTTCTCTTCTTGGAGTTGGCAAGGAAAGGCCCTTTGTCCTTGGCTGGATAAGGGTGGCTTGGTGCCCCTGTGGGCACTGCAGGTGGCGACAGAGGGGCAGCTGAGAGGCAACGTGATTTGAAGCTGGATGAGGGTGTGAAGTTGACAAAGGCGCTGTCGGCAGATTGTGGAGGTGCTGAAGATTTGGAAGCAGGTGAGAGCACCCTAGAGAACCACAGACACACACAAAGCTAAGACCCAATAGGTTCTGGAAGTCTTTTCAGAATTTCACTGCAGTCTCAATTCTATAAAATATGTAACACCACATTCATAAAGAAAAGGCATGAGGGCCACTTATATCACCCAGAAGTATTTTTTTTAAAGCATCAACTGGACATTAGCACTTTTGGTTGTTTCCAAGGACAGACTGTCATGACTATTAAAGTTCAGAATCACTTTTACTCCTTACAAAAGGCCAAATCCTGGCAAGTTTCAGCATTTCAGGAGCAATATTTTCCTAAAGGCTCCACACCATTTCTGTCTCCATCCAAACATCAGGCCATGACTGCGCCCTCTAGATGTTGAACTCTAATTCCCATTAATGCCAGGTAGCCTGGTCAATGGTAGGTGATAATGGGAATTGGGAATCCAACAAATCTGGAAGGCCACAGGTTCCCCCAGGCACAATCATAAGATTAGCTAATTTTCATAAGAACGGGAATAGAACTTTCTAAACTTCCTTTTTGTAGGATTGTTTCAGTGACAGATTCAAAGCCCTCCTGCACTGAGGTAGTACTGATGCTTAAGAATTTATATTCCTCATGGTTGCAGAGATACATATGAAGATTTCAGACAATCCACAAAAAAGTTTTCTTGGGCAAGCGCTGTCAGGGCGGAAGTGTCTGTGCCATGCAGTTTCCTGTTTATATTCTTTGTAGAGGCCACTCCCTACATATATTTTCCTACTATTGCTACATTATCTATTAGTGTTCATCCTCCTAGAGCACTGTCTCTTGCAGAAAATGATTTGCTAAATCCTGCTACTACCTAAACAAAGAAGACAAACTTCTGCTACCTTATGCTAAAAAACCTAGAATGAACAACTTAATTACAGCATAGACACTATCCAGGACTGAAAAATGCAAAGTGCTTCCCTGCAGAAGGAGAGCTATGTGGAGGCTGTGTGTCCCTGAGGTACGTATCTATGGAGGGCTTAAATAACTTTGCTGAGGCCAAGCAACTCATGAAGAAGGGGACTAAATAAAAGTTTGCCAAGGATAAGGCTAAACGTCTGGGTATTACTCTCAAGTATCACATCCAAGCATAACAAGCACACTCAGCCTGACTGAGCAAGATTCTCAAGGCCAAAACAGACATTACTTTAAATCCCTATGTGGTGGCCACTACTTTTCCCCATTGTAATGTAGCAATTCAGAGTACTAGACTGGGACTTGGAAGATCTGTGTTCTAGTCCCAATTCAGTCATGAAGCTCAATGGGTGACTTTTAGCTAGTCACTGACTCATAACCTAAGCTACCACACAGGGTTACTGTAAGGGTGGAGGATTATATGAGCTACACTGGGTTCCTTGCAGGGAAAAGGATAGCATATAAATGTAATGTTGAAACTGTAGTAGTAGTTGTTGTTGTTGTTGAGGTACAGCCTTGCTCTGGATATTACGAGCTCTCCAAGTTCCAAAAGACAGGCCAAAAGCATTCAGGCCAGTAACAGTGGATTCTAGCACAGAGCCAAACTCTATCAAGAGATTCTGGTGACCTCTTCAATAAAAAGAAGGCTTTATTTTAGGAAACATCCTTGTAGCATAAGACAGTCTCATTCAAACCAGGTGACCTCCAGATGTATAGGGCTATAGCTCCTATTATCCCCAGCCAGCATGGCCAATGGCATGGCCAATGCAAGCTGAGACAACCGAAGTTCATTCATTCGTTCCAGTTCTATATCAGCCAACAACTGATACCTCTGGAGGGTGGCTGCTTCAGTTAAAGCTGCCTTAAAGAGTGGTTCTCATAAGCTGCACAACTACACATCAAGGAAGAACGACAGGACACACCTGGGGCACAGCTTACCTGGGATAGCCCAGCACAGCGGCGTGGACGGGGTGGGTGGTGTTTGTGGCAGCTGGTGGGGAGTGGGGCGGCGCCCGACGCTCACTGCCGCTCACCTTCTGCAGTGTGTTGCTGCCCTGTAGTTATCGACATAAATAAAAACTTGGTGGTCTAAAGGAGGTTTCCATGACCCCAGGGGGCAAAGGGTGGAATAAGAAGAGAGAGGTAGGGAGGAAACAAAAAGAGGTGGGGGTAGGGCAGAGAGGGGAAGAAGAATCAGAAAAGTGTTTGTTGTTAGAAACAAAGGGAAAACAAGGAAGGACATGTAAAAAGACAGATGTGTTAGAATAAATAGTGGGCCATTGGGAATGTTCCCCTCTCCCACTGGCACGCCAGGCTTCATCTCTGAATGTGCCCCCCATATTTCTCTGCTTCAGTTCCCTGGAAAATCTGTCTCCTTAAGTTGGGCCTCAAGAACTTGCTGATAAAGCTTTATCAAGGAAGGGGATCTGAGGAGAAAAGCGCTACGCACATTGCATCCCAAGCTTATCCCTGCAGAGAATGCAAGTGCAAGGCACACTGTTCGCTTCACACAGGCCGCCCCTCGGCTCAGGCGAGCCTGGAGCAGCAGGTAAGACACCAAATCAATGATACTTGGGCCTCACAAACTAGCCAGGTGTGTGCAACTGCCCGTGGCTATCACAAGTGCAATCTATTATACCGAGCCTGCAGCATCACCACTAGACTGAAACGGCCACCTGCTCTTTCCCCAACCTCCCGTTGCCTCTCTCAATCCTGTTTGTCCCAGCTTGGAGTACACTGAGGAAAAGCCCCCCCAAACCCACCTTCCTGGCAGAAAGTGCCAGTTTCTTGGCCGGTGGGGGTGACATAGTACTTCCCAGCTCCAGATTGGTCACATTAGCCAGCGATGGCGACTTTAGCTTGGCAAATCTGGAGTCCTCAGGAACATGTTTCCCAGAGGCACAGTCCGTTTCCTGAGAGGAGCAGTAGCCGTTGATGCCCACTGTGGACTGCGGAAGTCCCTTAATGGAGTTATGTGCTGGGCTGGAGCAAGAGGAGCTGCTAGAAGATGAAGACGACGAGGAGCTGGTGGTCAAAGAGGAGGAGTCCTTGCTTGGTAGCTCTGCGCCTTCTTCACGCACTTTGGCCTCGGGGTCACCTCCAGAAGCATCTGGCAGCTGCACAGGCGATGCCGAGTGCTTGTCTCCCCAGGAGCTCTGCTTGCCCGTCTCCGACCTGGCACTGCCGGCCTCACTCAAGTCCTGAGATGATTTGAGTGGCAGGAAAGGGTGTTTCTTGCATCTTTTACTGAAGTCATCCAGAAATGTGGGCTTGGACGGGAGCTTGGGTGAGGAAAACCCAGTGATAGAGATGAGCTTGGGAAGAGGAGGAAGTGTCCCATTCTGAGGCTTGGAGTTGGAAGCAAAGGAGCTGCGGGGAATGGGAACACCAGTTTCCTCCGTATCTGAAGGCTTCTTAGCCTGAGTCACATCTTGCCTCTGTGGAAGAGAGGGATACAGATGTTGGAGACAGACACAGCCAACACCATGAAACACGGCACTCCTGCACCTGGACAACTAGCTTGGGAAAGCCCTGTCTTGACCACACCCCTGCAGGAGAGGCTCTTGTGCAAGACTGCCTCCTGTAAGGGTGGAAGGAGAAACCATACAGATAGTTAGCAAGTCTGGACATCAGTTAGTCTAGAACCCTTCTCTTTGCCATCGAGGGGTAATATTCAAATCCACACAGCCTCTAACGCCAATTACATTGTGACTGTGGCAATGACTTACAGGACTACGCCAACAGGACAGGCTAGCACTGTGCTAGAGATTACGCAGGTGTGATGTGATTTCTCACTGTGAGAGTGTCCCTTCAGATACTACCCCAGGGTTACATGAAAGTACATACAAGTACTCCAGGCAACCCTTAACCTGCAGTCTGAGGGGGCATGGCCCAGACCCATGACTATCTTGTCATGAAGAATTAACTCCACTGCTGTGCTGAAGCTGAAGAATTAACTCTAACTGCTGCAGTACCCTAAACCATGAAAACAAAACGTCTCGCGTGTTTGCCCATAAACGTACTGGGGGGCGGGGGGGAGTGAGAATGCTTTTTTCTCCCCAAGTTAATCCTCACAATTGTGAGGCTACTTCCAGAAGTTGTACTAGAAGTTTCAGCACAACAGCAGCGCCCATGTTCTGTGTTCACACTTTTAACATACAGGGCACAGCCTGTATGCTGCTGCAAGGATCTCCGTATTTGTCCAATATCTGCATGGCTGCTGATATGCTGGAAGAGCATGGGGCACCCCACACCCTAAGATGTCAGAAGCCAGAAAAGTTACTAAGATGCCAGTGGTTACCAGGAGAACTCTGGTGTCCTTGCTCAATCTATTTCAAGGTCACAGCTCACAGGATTCTCCTCAGTCCAGAATATGGATTGCCTAGGTGCAGGTTTTTCCTCCCCCCCCCCCCCCCCACTTTCAAGTTCCATGCACACATAGCCCAAACAGTGGCCTGGGAGGACACTCACTTTGCTCATTAGTGGTGATGAAAGGGCCCCATTGGTCGTGCTTTTCTTCATATGGTCAGCGACAATGCCTGCTCGGCTGGGCATGGGGCAGCTGCTTTTGGAGACAGGATTCTCAGGATTCTTCCTGGTACTTGGGATTCTTGAAGAGAAGGCCAGAGGAAAGAGTATGTAATTTTTATTAATTCATTTGAAAGATTCATTTTCACCGTAAGGCTCTTCAAGGCACTAAATTGCCAAAACATCAAGTTATTTAATAAGCTCCAGCAACATTAAGAACAGGAGAAGAGAGTTGGGGTAGGGTAGATACCCAGAACATACTAAAACTCCAAATCTAAAAGTCCCCTGCAAAAACAATGTCCCTCACCTGGCACCAAAAAGCCACTCCATTAATCATCAGGTGGCCCTCTTCAGGAAGAATGTTCAGAACCTGGGTGCCACAACTATCATGGGCCACTTTGTATTAATTCCTGAAAGCAACAGGACCCAAATAAGGGCCTCAAAGGAAGATATTCATGACTAGGTATCCTGGTCCCAATCCATTTAGGGCTTTAACACTCACAGGTCACTTGAGGAGAACCAAGAAATGTTTGTAAGAGTGGAAGGAGCTGATTCACACAGCTGATCTTAAGCAAGCAGCCCTGCTGCCCTATTTTCTATCTAAACGCTTCCTGTTGAGGACCAAGAATATTAAGCATAGGAGGACCTGGAGCTTTGGATGGCCTTATATCAATTCCATCTTATTCAGCAATGCCTACCACAGCTCACCAGTACAACGTTTATGGGCACCAATGTGCCCACAGCTATTTAAAAGATTCTTTAAATTAAAACTAGGAGGGTGGCATGCTGCAAAGAGTCAGCTTTCACACCATCTTTATTTCTCAGGTTCACATGTAGGGCCAGAGGACGGCTTTTTGTAGTAACGCAGAAAAATACAGCTGTAGGCATGGTGGGGAGCCGTGAGAGTGTTTTGCTTATGAGCAGTGGCATGCCCGTGTTGTTTTGTTTTTTAATATTACGTGTTCATTTGTACAGGTGTTGTGCATGCATTGCTTCGGTTTTTGTATTTCTTTGGTGCAGCGTGTTTTTCACCTTTTGGAGTCATTTGCTTGATGTAGACATGGCTGGGTCTTTTCCTTGCATCTGCTTCTCTTGAGTATCACCAAGATTTACCCTTTTCACAGAAGGCAGATTTTGGGAGCAAATGTGTGATTTGACATTTGGGAGCTCAGATTTTGTTGGAGCAGAAAACCTTGGGGTCAAAAGAATGGCTTTGTGTTTTGGAATACATACCCCGTCTCAGCCTTGCAACTTCGATTCTTGGGCAAGTTACGCTTCTTTTAGTAGGGGTCATGCTCTGCATGGCAGCCATTTTGTGAAGAGCGAAGGCCATTCTCATGGTAGCCATTTTATGACAGCGCTCACAACACTCTCAAAATTCCAATTGTGCTCACAGGACCAAAAGGTTTTGGGACGTTACACTGGATAAGAGCAGCTCTCCAAGATTTTGGGGAATGGCCTTTTCCCAGTCTAACCTGGAGATACCAGGATCTGAACCAAGGACCCTTTGTGTGCTAGACATCTGCTCTATTGACTGAGTTAAAGCCCTTCCCCAAATTTGAAAAATGACCAAATACAGTTCAGCAACATTCAATGAGTGGTAGGGCAGGCCCCTTGTTAAAGAGTTGCACTGTCATGTAATTATCCCCAGTATGTTATTCAGGTAGCTCCATACCCTGTTTTCAAAATGGAGTTTTACCTGCCCTCCAATCCACATGATGAGCAGAACTGATAGGGAATTATGTATAGCAAGAACCCCTTTGAAACAGGCATGATCAGGAAAGGTTGGCAGCAGGTATACAGGGCCCCACTTACCTAAGGTAGAAGAGCACGTAGGCCTGTTGGTTGAGAACCACTTTGATGTTGCTTGAATGTACCAGGGAGTCATTCATCTGGTACCACTGCCCATTGCTAGCCTAAACATGGGAGGAAGAAAGAATGATTTGCAGCTGCCCCTTAGCACAGATGGCCAGCAGAGTGCAGGGACTCCAGTCCTTCAAGGGTTATTTATTAGAAGCGATTGTATAAAGTAACAGAAGAATATATAGTGGCTACAAGTCATGAGAGCCAGCTGAGTGCAGACAAACAGTAATGGCAAAGAAACTTGATAGTACAGGCTGCCCCCCAGGGATGAATGACGCCATCTCACCACGCTTTGTAAACTTCCTGTGTGGCATCTCACTGGCTAGCACCATTAAGACATGATTGTGGTAGACTAAGCTAGACCAGCTTTCCCCATGGTGGTACTCTCGGTGTATTAGACTACAACCCCCAGAATCCTACAGCCAGTTATGGTGACGGGGGGAATGCTGGATGTTATAGCCAAAAAGATTCAAGAAGGATGACAACAAAATTGTTGTTTGGACAGCACAATTCTCATGATGTGCCACTTACTTGTAGCCAACCTTTTAGGTTGGACATGGTCAGAGACTCCCAAAGTTGCATATTCTGCCATTTTTTTTTCTTTTTGCATTTGAATCTTTGGACAGAGTTATTAAAAGTGTAGCCAGCTAAGACAAACTGATTCTAAAAAAGATCCTGGACTGTGCAGAAACTGATAGATTGACTTTATCATTGAAAGAGAAGGAAGATACTGACTTCTATCAAACTTGGGACTCTTTTTATTACTGGCTAGAGAAATGGGATTTCACATAGATTTAAATATGTTTTTAAGTTATCATAAATGGAAAAAGAAGGGTGTGAGGGCTGACCCAGCAGACCCAACCTTTTTGATGATTGATGCTGTTTTTAGTTTTTGTTTTTTAGGACTATAATTTCAAATAAAACTTATTTTTAAAAAAAGTGTAGCCAGCTAAGAACATCACCATGGAGTCAGTGAGGTGTGCAGCCACACAACCTCAGTTGATCTTGCAAGGAGGGTATTTATGCCACTCAGCATTCCAAACAATCCCTTGCAAAAGCTGAGCATTATCCCATTGCAGTTGAAAGCAAAGCTTCTCTCCCAGTACTAAACCTAGCCGCCCCCAGCACTATCTCTTGCCCCCCATCGCCCACAGACAAAGCACTTACCTTGATGTAGCAGTAATAATGGCCTGCATGGCAGCTGTATCCTGAATGTACAAGCACAGCATAGAGACCATACATGACAGGGTCACCGTTGCTCTGTGACATGTAGGGACGGACATTCAGGAATTCAGGGTAGCCTACATCCTGAAAGGAAAAAGGAGAAGCTCACAGCGATCTGTCTCACCCATCTATAAATTGTTTCTCATGTGAGCATGCAGGCCCATAACTGGGAAGAGCAAGAGCCATGCCAGTCCGTGGAATGATAGTCAGGATTTTAGAACAAATGAATAGAAATGCAGTGCTACAAGGCTGTATGAGGGGCAGCAGTGAAGTGAGAAAGACACTGGCAACATGAACTCATCCAAGTCCTCCTATCGGGGGAGAAGCGACCATGGTATCACCCTCCCCTGCCTTCCAGACTCCCACACCTTGGTGATCTTGCCTCCACTGAAGTTGGCAAAGCGCTTGAGCGAGATCGTAAGAACGTTGGAGGCCCGGTGAATGGTGAAACGCTTGGTGGCTGGCACCTTCTTCTTGCACCTGCACAGAGGAGAGGCATGATCAAGACTGTGTGCGCACTTGCTGGGAAACACTGGATTGGCGCTGCAGGTCTCAGAGGGAGATGGTGGGGGGAAGATAATCCTGAATGCCCACCTCCCATGACATGGCTGTTCAGCTGCCCCTCCCACATGCAACCTTGAAAGCCTTTGGGAAAAGTGTGTCTTTCTGTATTGTAGCCTGTTCTCATCTGTACTACACAAAGCTTCCAAATATTTGCAAAAAATAATTTGGTCTCAAGTAGAAGGTGATGGTATCAAAAATCTAACACTGCGCAGATACACATGAATTATTTATCCATTCCCTGTCTGGGTGTATCTACCTACCCCACTCTCCTTTTTAATACATCCTCATTTTATTTTTCAGGAGTGAGTCAGCAATTACTGAACCTGTGGAGTATAACAGATCTGCCTGAACTGACACGTTAGCTCTTCCATGCTAGAAGTATGCCTCTGTTTCGACAAAGCAAAACAGCGTAATTTCACCAAGGGGACAAGGTGCATAGGAGAAAGAAACATGTCACGAGGAAGGCCAAGGTAGAAGGTAACTCACTTGGCACACATGTAGGCATTCTCTCCACTCAGCACATCTGCCTTTACAAATAATTCTAATGCCCGCACGATGTTGGCAGCTTGCTGTAATGAGAGATGGAAATCCAAAAGAGTCCTCCAAGTCAGTTGAAGAACAGACACACACAAGTCCAGCTTGCCCACCCTCAGATAATTAGTATTCTCCAGTGTCATTAGGGTGCAGTGCTTTAGAATGGGCTCCATCCCTCCCAGCTGCTACTATTTTTGCTGAGAGAAGGATAGCTCCATCCACACAGAAGGCAGTTCTTGCACTGCAGGGGTCATGACTTTTAGATGAGTGGCAAACTTTGAAACGGCTTCCTCTGATGTATCATCACCATATTCCATCACTTTTCAGAAGGGGTCCTTCAATGCTGGTGGGGGTGGGGCTTTTGGGAGGGCTGGCTCCTAGTCTCACAGCTAGTTCTGTAAGACTCTCACAAGGGAAAAAAGCCTTCTAAATCTTCGTGATATTTGACACGAGAGAGTATGACTACAACGTATCAGGAATAATTGTGATTTCTTTTGACTAGGGGTTCAACACCAAGGGCTTGAACAAAAAACCATCATGAATTGGAGGACTGAAAAATTAGTTAACATGGAACTTTAACTTCTACTTCAGTGGCCTGATTATCTGAGACAACCAGCACAGGCTGCAACATCTACATCATAGGCTGGAAAGTGATTATTATGAAAGATATTTAAAACAATGAGCATGTGATTAAGCACATTTCACAGCTCTCAGCAGAATACCTTCCACTGCCACTGTATTGTCCTAAGCTGCTAAAATGAACACTGAAACCTAGAGCTTTTAGGGTTTTAAAATATTTATATATTAAGTATTTATTAGCATGAGGTTCACAGGACTGAGAAGACCCCAAAAGCAAGACAATACAACTCAGATGTCATGTATGGTGTTTAAATTATCTAGCCCCAACTCAGAGTCATTGCTCAGCTTGAAATATGATTCCAAATCACTGAACAGATACCACAACGATGGGACAAGGTGGCAGCAAGATTTTCTTTCTGAAGATGCACACAGCCTTGGACAACGGCTGTAAATTAAGTGACATACCCCATTCACTCTCTCGTCCCTGCATCCATTTCTCCACAGCTTTCCCCACGCAAACTTTTGCTTTTTTGCTTCCTGTACATCTCAATGCATTAGACGGTCACTGTTGCCTCCTGCCCATTACGCTTCCATACAGCTTTCCCCAAATTGGTGCCCTCCGGGTGTTTAGCACTTCAACTTCCATCAGCCTTAGCTATCATACCCAATCAGACTGGCTTACCACATGCTAAAATCCTCCCTGTATGCACTGTTCCTCCAGGAGTCAGAAGCTACTATGAGGCTATTCATGCTAACAAAAGTATGCGTGGACATAAAATATACAGTATATCACAGAAGTGAATACACCCCTCACATTTTGCAAGTATTTTATTGTATCTTTTCATGTGACAACCCTGAAGAAATGACACTTTGCTGCAATGTAAAGTAGGGAGTATACAGCT